ATTTGTTATATTTAAAATGAGATGTTTATCCTGTATTTGATTGTGTTTATCTGCAGTTAGTTACACGAATTCAGATATGGGATGAAATCGGATAGGGATGACAAGTTTTAAGAGTTTTTAAAAGTTTTAGTCAAATGCATTATAAGATAGTATAGATATTATTAAAACCAAATATAAATTACTTCGTTATTGTACATAAATTAAATTATAAAAAAATTGAATTAAAAAATTACACAAAAAATGAGGAATTTCATATAGTTAATTTGATACTAATATCGATATATTTTTGTCAAATTTTTATGATATCTTCAAACATATATTTTATTCAAAAATAAAAACATTCGCTTTCTCAAAATCACATAAAGCCATATTATAACATCGACTGAGATAAATAATAAAATGAAATATTAAAATCACGTTGTATCTCGCTGCATTGTGCGAATACGCTTCTAGTTATATGTAATGGTTATTTAAAATCATAAATAATAGATTTTTTCTAAAAAGTTTTTTAACAAATTTAAATATTATAATATACATATAATAATCAATTTAAAATTCTTTTAATCAAAATATTATATATATTTTTAATTCTTTTTACTATTTTGTTTTTATTAGTTAATATATTATATTATTAAAGATTTGTTTCAATTATATTTTGAAATATTACTTTTTTTGGTCATTTAACGTTCTCATCAACGAATTTTGTCAAACATAATTTGTTCATTTGCTAACTTATTATCTATCAGTTAGTTTGCCAAACATAATTTTTTTAAACTTAACTTTTTTAGAAATTTAATTTTTTTCCCATTCTCGATAAAAAGCACTATTTTTTTCTCATTCTCAATACAACAATATTTAATTTTCTCATTCTCAATACAAAACACTATTTTCTTTTTAAAAAATTAGATATTTAATTTTTTTTCTCATTCTCAATATAAAACACTGTTTTATTTTTCATTCTCATTACAACACTATTTATTTTTTTCATTCTCAATACAAAATACTATTTACTTTTCTTCTTCTCAATACAACACTATCTATTTTTCTCTTCCAATACAACATTATTTAAATTTGTCTTTTTCGTTTTCAACCCCACTATATAAACATTTTAAATTTCATATTACCAACACAAAACCAATACTTAAAAAAAAACAATATATATATATATATGAGATTGAGAAAAAAAAATTATCTTCTGCAAATTCTCAAGGATCAATGTCTGTGATTGAGAAAGTTAGAGTACGTGTTTTTTGTGGAGGTTTGTGGCAGTTAGTCAACGACGTTAGTAAATTATATTCTAGAAACGCAAAAAAAAACTGTTGTATTGTTGTCGATACACTTAACATTACCAGGTTTGGTCAATTATTTAATTAGAAAATTAAACTTGTCCGATTTTGAAAAACGTTTTAAGTTAACATATAAATCTTTATCATCTAGTATTCTGATTAGATTGTCGAGTTATTTAACACAAATGACACGAGACAATTTTTTACTATTGGTCTTAATTTTGAGTTTTAATTCTGTATTTTGTAATACTTATAAATGATTTATAAATTTCAAATTTTTTTTTCCCGTAATGGGTTAATCAAATTACAATGTACGTGTATGTATTATCAAATGCCTGCGTGTCTCCTTCGTGTATTCAAATCTCTGCTCCAACACTTCCACAACACTTCATCCTTTCAGGTAATAATCTATCTTTTCCTTTAATCCATGCTTCCGTTTCTTCATCTCCAAATCTAACAAAGCCCCAATTGCATGATACTCGGATTCAGAAGTTGATTTTGCTGGCCAATTGTAGCATATGTAATCCTTTCTAGGTATAGTCGTGTGTGGGTGTATATATATTCCTTTATAATGGTTGATAAGTATAATCACAGATACGTAAGTGGTTTAGGATGGACTTGCAATCTAAGTTGCCATTAGTGCTTAGTTTTTCTTCAGGTTAGAATCCTTTTCGGGAGGAATTGCAATCTAATCTTTGCCATTAGTGCAACGTATGTGCAATTTTCCTTTGAGGTCAAACATGTGGCTTTCAGCAATCATATATGAGATTTAGCTTATTAGGTATTTAACACTAGCATTTGCTATTATTCATTTTTTCCATAATTTTGATGAATTTTACTCCTATAATTCTAACTTGAATGGTGTTTACTCCCTAGTGCTTTTTGTATTTTTTCATTTTAGAGACCATTTTGGTTATCCTTTTTTGGAGTAATTTTTCTCTGAATTAGAAACATTTATATCTGTTTTGAAAATAACAAATAGCCTGTTTGACTTGAAAATTTCAATACTAACAACGAATGGGGAGAGTGGAAGTTGAAGTTGGAAGTTGGTCATCTTGACTTCAAACATGAGTCCGTGCCCTAAAATTGGGATTATGTCTATGTGCATTGTGTAGTTTATGCCACACAGTGAGAGACTAATACCTGTATCCAGTTATATAGAAAAATAAGGGAGAGGCTTATAAATGCAAATGGCGTTGGCTTTAAGGGCACGTTTGGCATGGGGACTAGACAAGACAAAAACTTGTTGTCCCATGTTGGTGATTAGACTAGGACATGACAGAACCTTAGCAGGACAAAAATACATTTTCTCTGTCCTACCAAAATAGGTGGAATAAAATCCAAGAGATGAAACAAGATTGGTAAATTACTAAACTACCCATGTCAAATTAAAACCATTAAACCTTGCACAATTCTTTCGTCCGCGTACCTCACTCTTGCCTGTATCCAGTCCCTTTATGTGTACGAAACGCATCCTAAGTGATCAAATTGAATATATACTCCTTTGTCAGACTGATTCTGGTATTTCTGAGATGATCTGATGATGACATGTATCTTCAACTGCAGTGAAAATGGCTATAGTATCTTTTGGAACTAGTACTTGTGGCTCAATGGAACTAGCTGCATATTCATTCAGTCCCCGACATGCACAACGTGACGTTGTTTATCTCAAGAGTTTGAGTTCCCAGTGGCAGCAGCAACGGCCTTGGTGGTTTGGATTTTCTTGTGACAAAATACGTAATCTAGATGCTTCAGGTCGATCGTTGAGGATGATTTCAAGTGGTTATGCTGGGAGAGACACCTACAGGATGAAAAAGGATAATGATGATAAAATGTATAGGAGGCTTGATTCTTGTTTGGTCATTCCTCCACCTAAAGGCAAGAAGCCAAAGGCAATCATTAAATTCCTTGGTGGTGCTTTTATAGGAGCAGTTCCCGAAGTTACCTATAGGTGGGTTGTTCATTCCATATTGTCACTGCTTTCGTTGTAGATTATTTATTTATTTTCAATCATGGATCAACCTTAGGAACTTATCTATCTGTTTTGTGACCGGTGTGGGAGGATGTCCATTTACTTCTAAAAACTTGGAGATTGTCTATTATTTTTTCCCTAGAAGTCAAAAGTCCATGAAAACAGTGAATACCTAATTATAATTACAAAACAAAAGATATGATGTATGCAAATTTTATGAAATTAATGTGTATTTGTAACCTAGAGATCTACATATTCAAGCCTCTAAATGCTGTAAAGACTTTTAAAAAAACCTCGTGAATTAACTTGGGTTACAGGTGTGCTTATTTTTATGAACCAATGAAATACCTATGATTTGATACATTATCCTTAGCAACCTCTTTTGGTTTTTGATATCTTTGATCACATTTTAAACTGCTTTGTTCTTGTAAGGATTGACCTGCCATGCATTTTGCATGTTATGCTCCTCCTTGGTCTGTTAAGATTGACCTGCCAAACAGGAACGTAAAGTTTTTAATTATTTAATGATATGAGGAGGATTATTGACTTGCATCGTGTAAACTCTTATCTTTATATGCAGCTATCTTCTTGGGCTATTGGCAAATGAAGGTTATCTTATTATTTCTGTGCCGTATAACGTGACTTTTGATCACTCTCAAGCTGCTAGCGAAGTTTATGAGAGGTTTCATTCCTGCCTGAAATTAATATTAACGTCTGGATTGCCCAATGATGATCTTCTAGCAGCTGAACTTGTTGATCTTCCTCTTTATTCTGTTGGTCATAGGTGCGCTTATTTTATTCTAATCCTTTACTGTTTTAATTAGTGGATCTTTTGAAGGATCTAGATGGTCTATATTTTGTTTTAAGTGATTGTGTATGCTTGTTTCTTTAATAAGTTATGGCCTTGTAAAAATAATTACATATTGATTGGTTCTCTGGGAGTTCCTTTTGCATCCGTCACACCCAAGTTTTCAAGTGTGAAATTTTGGGCATCAGCCAAATGCATCTTACCATCCTCTTACTAGTATTTTCAACTATGTAAAAATATGCAGTAACGGTGCCCTACTCCAAGTACTCACTGGAAGCTATTTCTCGGAGAAGATACCAAAGGTTGGTTTTGTGCCTTCTCTGTCTTTTACAAGAGATCTAGTCTAATTGATTGGAGATGCAATTCTGTCAGTTGTAGAACATGATGTTCACTTTTAAGGCTCTTTGTTTCAAAATATATGGAACTGTCTTGGAAAGTGATGTAATTTCTCCTCTATTGTGGAAGGCTAATGCCATAATATCATACAACAACAGGCCAGCAACAGAGGCAGTACCTTACTTCGAACAGGTAATGTGATTGATTCTAGTATTAACTATACGGATTGTTCTGTTTTGTCTTGATCATACATTTCTTAGTTTCTGTAGAAAAGGGCTTGTGTTTTATTACTTGAAAACTTTCTTAAACAAAGTCCGCTGCAATTTCTAAAGCTTTATCATAACTTTTTGACTTCTGCAGTTGGGTCCTCTAGTTAGCCAGTTGATGCCTGTTGTGGAAGCATCTCCTGTATCTTCCATGGCTAAGGGTGCCGCAGGTAGGTGCTTTCAGAATTTTGTTTCTTGATTTTCTGAATCTTGTTACTCTGTCTGTGTTAGTCTGTTAGTTGCCTATTTTTCCTCAACATGGAAATCTGCTTATATTTGTTTCTCCCTCTCATGAATGTATTTTCTAGAATGAGTTGTTTACTTTCTTGTTTGTGGGTTGATTGAATTATTTTGTTGGCCAGAAGAGGGTGTGGATGTTTCCTTTATTTTGGCTTAACTAAACAAGTCAGAAGGGTGCGGGAGGGTTGCAAGCATTTTACCTTTTTTCGGTATGCATGAAAAATATCATTGAACTCTCAAGTCTTAAGCACTATGCAAATATTTTAATTAGTTAAATTATTTTTCACTGAATTTGTATTTGTGAGAATGTGGAAGCCCATATCACTCTCCAAAAGAGCCTTTAAGGAGAAAGGGGAGGTTCCCTCTCATGAATGTATTTTCTAGAATGAGTTGTTTACTTTCTTGTTTGTGGGTTGATTGAATTATTTTGTTGACCAGAAGAGGGTGTGGATGTTTCCTTTATCTTGGCTTAACTAAACAAGTCAGAAGGGTGTGGTAGAGTTGCAAGCATTTTACCTTTTTTTGGTATGCATGAAAAATATCATTGAACTCTTCAGCACTATGAAAATGTATTAATTAGTTAAATTGTTTTTCACTGAAATTATATTGGTGAGAATATGTGGAAGCCCCATATCACTCTCCAAAAGAGCCCTAAAGGAGAAAGGGGAGGCTCCAACATATATACAGGAGAATTGGTCCAAGTCTAGCAACAATATTCAATTATGGACCACCATCAAGATGTTGATGCTGAAGGAAATCATTTTCTAGAGAAGCAAGACCACTCATTATTTAACAACAAAAATGAACATTGTTGTTTCAATATTTGTATTTCTTCCATCATGACTTGTATTGGCAGTAATATGTTGTTGCCATATTCATCCAATATAGTTTCTTTTGGTTTCATTTTTAGCCTACCCAACTAGTTTGGGATATAAGGCTTCTTGTTGTTCCACATTTTATTGGTATCATCATAAATAATGTTATATGGATATCTTGTTGTTCCAACTTTTGGTTCATGTTTCATGCTGTTCCTGCAATCATTATTTTGTTATAAGGATATCAACACAAATATTTCGTTCCTCATCTTGTTTGTTCCTTCTTTACATGAATGGAGATGCCTGGAGGGTACTGCTTGATACAGCTGAAGCAATGACACCTGATTATGATCCTGAAGCTAGGGTTTCATTGAACAAATTTGTTGATCAGTTGCCATCAGTTTTTAATCAGGTATTTTTCTGCCTAATTGCACTTCAAGAATAGACGTGTAGAAGGGTTCACATTGCTGATTCCATGGTTGCAAATTGTTGGCAGGCTTTACTTTTGCAATTTAATATTATGTGGTTGAGTAATAATTAAGAGTTCAATTAATTGGTTTAGTAAAATTTGAAGATAACCCTACAAGAAAACATAAAGTAGTAAAATTCAACTGGGATAGGAACAATGGGCAATAGAAAGTGGAATAGGGAACGGAAAACACAGGAATGCGAATACCCTTATATAGTTCATCACTCGCTTATTTGACGAAGATGCCACACTACTTGATCTAAGAGAGAGAAGCGGAAGTACTTAACAACTATCTTTAGGTCACATATACATTGGCATAATAGCTCAAGAAAAACAGTTGGTTAAAGTGAAGCATTCATTTAGCTGATGGACACATGCAAACTTTCTAGTTCTGTTATTGTTTAATACCAGTAGTACCCGTTGCTTTTTTTGTTGGGTTGGTGTGAGTGCTTTAATCAGACTTGACCGAGTAGATCATGGTGGGATCTTCACCATGAAAGGCAAAGCATCTGAATGTTTTTTAAATATATTGAAAGATGCTTTTGCTACTGTTATTATGATTATTAACACCAAGGATGTCCATTTTTTATGCATACAATTGTTGTTATTGTTGTAGATGCTCAAGTTTTTGCAGAGAAACGCTTGTCGTCCTAATTTGAGCAAAACATTTATTATTCTATGATTCCTGATTGGAATTACATTAGGAGGCTTAGAGTTTTCCATCTGTCACCATTAGGCCCTGGTGGTTATTTTTTTACTAACAGCCTCCTAAACTTCTCATGAACTCCCTTGTGCATTTGGTACGTGGACAGGATAGGACACTAAAAAACTTGTTGTCCAACGTTTGGCATGACTTTAGACTAGGACGAAAATGCATTTTTTGTCCCAAGAACAAAAATCTCAGAGATGGTCACACAGTTATGATAAATCATTGAACTACCAATGTCAAATTAAAACCCTAAAACCTTCCACAATTATTTCACCCGCCTACCCCAATCTCGCCCATCCCATCTAGTTCTGTCCAGTCCCGTCTGCGTACCAAACGCACCCTTCACTTGTGCACCATTTCTACGATCGAGTGGGCACACAGTTTTGATATCACCAGCATGATGCATGGTCTTGATTCAGAATAACCGAGTTCTTAACTGTTTTATCCAACTTCTGTTGTTCTTTCTAGATGTATATTAAATCTTATGTGCTAGACGGGCTACTCTGAGGTGTTTTTATCAATGGAAGGATTTTGGTTGTGTCAGGTTGCTCAAGGAATATCAGAATTCAGGCCAACACCCATTGAGAACCGTGAATTTTGCAAGAACTCATATAATGTTCAGAAAACACTGCTGGTACTTTTGTGCCTCTCATGCCCAAAGTAAAGTTGAAAGATTCTTTAGCGTTTGCTTATCTGATTTTACGTAATTCATAGCTTTTTGTTTCAGGTGAAGTTCAATGTTGATGCAATTGATGAAACAGATCTCCTTGAGGAGACTTTGAGGCCTCGGGTGGAAGCTATTGGTGGAACACTGGATAAAGTTTCATTGAGCGGTAACCATATCACACCATGCATTCAGGTAAAGTATTTTTGCACATTGTTCTGCATGGTATTTTTATATGATAATTTTAATGTATTAGGCCAGCTGAGGTAGTATAGTTTCCTCCTTTTAACAAGCCAGGGGGCTTCACAGAAACAGCCGCTCTACTCAGTGAGGTAGAGGTCAGGTCTGCGTACATCCCACCCCCAAACCTCACCTCCGGGTGGGATATTATACATGGTTTATTTGGTTTGGTTTTACCTAACGTTGGGGATAGATAAAAATTCAAGGTTCAGGTGTCCAAGTCATACCTGGATTGGCAATATGAAATATTTGTGGACTGGTGCCGTTTGTTTTTTAAGAGGTGTTAAAGTCTAAAGGTTTATTTCACTTCTGATTAATAAGAGGTGGTGTTGAAATCTGAAATCTGAATCAATAAGACTGTTTGTTTTTGTAAACTGATAAATGTCTGAATTTGTTTAAATTGTCTATTTTACTCGTTAGAAAATTATATTGTTGAATTTATAGATAAATTTATACAATTTCACATATTTATTCATCATCATTACGAAATTTATACCTAAATCATATAATTAGCATTCATTTAAACGAAAATATGTCATTAACGGTATCTAACACATTTAAATCCTATTAAAATACATCAATTGAGACAGGTGAGGATCGATTTGGTAAGTATCGATTGAGAGAAATGATCGATTAAGGTTAATTGATTGAGAAACGTCATTGCTAAGAGTTTGAAGAACAATAAGAGGCAAATAAGAGGTTGGTTAACCTCTTACCAAATAAGAGGAGAATAAGACATAAGTGGCTCAAAAAAATTGGAAAAAACAAACAGTCTGAATGACCCTACCTCTTAACGAATTAGATATAAGAGGCTGATAAAAGCTTTTTTTTAAAAAAACAAACAAGGCCTAAAAGTCATAGATACTGGGAAAAGAAATACGGGGTTGATATTTCCTAGGTTACACCTATCTTTCTCGTTTTGTGTGGTTGGTGAGTGTGGATGGTCAGTGAGTTATGTTCTAGTGTTATTTGTTTTCTTAGGTTGGTTTCTAGGTTGTTTGGGAAGTTTATTTTGGTCATTGTTTCCTTTTTTCTCTTTTCAGTACTCAAGTTAAATTTTCCTGCTTGTAAAGATTTAGTTCGAATTCAAGCGTTGCCAAAGCCCTTGTGGTCATGGAGATTCACCTGCTATGACTCCAGGCTATTTGTGGTCGCCCGGTGCTCATAAGCTGGCCCGGAAACCCATGGTTACGAGAAAAAAAAGATTTAGTTCAAGTCTTTTCTGAAACCTTTTCAGACTTGGGGCCTGTTTGGTTGGTTTTTTCATCAAGTTCCGTATGAATAAAACTGTCTGTGTGGATTAATCTATTTGTATAGGTTCAGAAGGTTTTTGTTTGGGAGGGTTTTTTCATAGATGAAATGAGCGTGTTTTTTAATTGGGAGGGGTAAGTTTGGAAAAACTTAGCTCTGCATAAAAGCTTACTGAATAACAGTCATGTATAGCTGACCAAATAAGTTGCGAGCCCCATTAAGCTAATTAAGATACTAACAAACAAGCCCCGATATAACAAGCTTTAGTTTTTGGTTTCAGTAAAAAGGGTCACTGATTTATTAAAACCAATGGAATGGTGATTACGAAAATTGTTAGGAGAGTTGGATGGAAGAGTACTATCTTATGTTGTACCAGGATCTCAGTTTTGACTTTGTGTGCATTCTTGAGATAGTACCAATTATTTGTCACTTTGTGTGTGATTAGGAACCAAAACTGCAAGCAGGTGATGTATACACTCCAGCAGATGCGATTGCGCAAGGACTCAAGACTCTTACGCTAAACGAGACCAGAATCCTTGCCAGAACCGTTGCAGACTGGTTTAACAACATCAACGAGTGAGGTAAAGTACGGAGATTCAAAAGGTTAAAACCTCACCGGCTTTGCCAATACTGTGGATCGTCTGTTTGTGATATTATGTTGTATATATTTTATATTAAACAAACAGCAATTGAGTAAATATAAACCCAGGAATCTAAAGAACAGGGGAGGAAGAAAAGGCTGAAACTTTTCTCTAACTTCCAAAAAGAAACTATACATGCTTTTTTTTTTCTAGACAACTCCTAAGCGTCCATGTTTGGCGGTTGTTGAATGATTTGATGCAGAATGATTAAGGGGCTCTCATGATATAGTGCAAAATGAAATATAATTGTTTGGTAATTGATTACAATGAAATTAAGGCGCTTAATGGTTAAAAGGGGCCTAGGGTACAAAATTATTCAGAGGGTTTTAGAACTATTAATAGGCAAACTTTTTTTTTTTGCCAAACAAGATTCACCTTTTAACTATTCAGAGACTGTTTTTTAATGGAACTATTAAGAGATAAACAAGTAACTAATAAGCTTAGATGATAATGTTCAATAACCTAAATCCAACATATGTTCTATTTAGAGTTTTTTAGGTTATTTTACATTATCATTTAGTTGATCAAACATGACTAGTTGATCGAAGCATCTTCAACAAATTCTTTATATATATACTCCAAACTAGATGATGAAAAGTTAAAATCTCTAAAATAAATTGCATTTAATGCAACAAATTCTATATTTAAAGATTTCAATAATAATTATATTGTTAAATATTTTATAGTTCTATTATCATCTCAAATACACTTTTTAAAAGAACATTATATAAAGTCATAATAATTCAATCTCATTGGAAGAAAGTAATAAGAAAATCAACTATCTCCTTGCATTAACTTTTTAAGAGATTCTCTAAATTTGAAGTTTTTTTTTTATTAACCTGATATCCAACCCGCTATGCGAGCCGACTAATCCCAGGACGACCACCTGCTTTGCAGATAGCCCGGAGTCATCGCATTTGAACCTCCGTGGCCATAAGGGGATTTTTATTCCTCCTTGGATTTGAACCTGAGACCTCCAGGTACTTTTGACCTTTGGAGCCAAGCTCAAACTAATCATGCACCATCCTTGTGGTTAAGTTTTCCTATTTTTTTAACTCTACTTTAGATACCATGTTCGAACAAAATAGAGAGTAAAATCTTCATTTTCTCTATTTTGAAGAAGATGCTATCAGCCAATAGCTAGCTTATCAGCCGACCACAAACTAGTTTTTCAGCCGATAACTAGTTTGCCAAATATAAAACTTAATTGAACCTAAACATAATTTGGTGTTTCATATTAAGCATAATATAACATCATTTACAAAACATTAGGATGTCATCCAGATCAAGATCAAGATCAAGGGGTGGCTGTAGGGGACATGAAATAAGCCTCTTTGCCAAGACAACATCCAGAGATTCTACTAGGCGTTGCTGTCACCGATCTTGTATATGGTTCATCACTTAAAATTGAAGCCTCTTCTGCTTGTAATGAACCCAACTTTCCCTCTATGCTATTCATTTCATCGATTAGTGTTGTATTATTCGAACCCGACATCCCGTGAATCATCAGCCCCGGAACGCTATTTGTTGCCATTGGCGAATCGGGATCACTCAAAACGTCTTCCTGACAGATGTCTCCGATTCTTGTCAGTATGCTGAATGCCAAGTTTCCAAGAACACGAGAATAAGCTTCTAAGATTGCATGAGCAACATCCTGAAATAAGGCAAGATTAATAAGCTGCTTTTTTTCTTCTGTAGCCTCTAAAAGTACCAACAAACAGGGATGTGTTTGAGCTGAGCCTGGCTTATCAGGCTTGCAAAGTTCAAGCTCGAGCTCAACTAAGCATGGGTCTTGGTTTAAGTCCCAAGGGATTGTACAAGTTTGTATAAAATTACGAGTAGACCCTCTATGGGAATGCCAACTAATTAAACAAAAATACAAGCCACCAAGTGATTTCTATGTATTCAAGCAATGCCAGACTTCTGCTCGGCTTAGATAGCTTGGCTCTGGTTGGCTTGGGAATGCTAGTGTGGGGGTTATTTAGCTAAATGATCTCCTAACAAGTGTAGTGTTTTTTAAATTCATGGTCTTTTGACAGGTATTTAGGCATTTTTCCATCAAAATATTAACATTCTCAAATATGTCAGAAGGTTGTTGATTTAAAAAACTGAAACCTGACGTAATGTCATATAACCAAATGACCCCATCAGTGGGCCCAAACGGTTTAATGATCGGGCTCATCAAATGTAGGCCCCTACCAACAAGTATGCTTTGGAATTGGATGGGTAAAAAAATTGCAGCATAATTGTAGCATATTGGAGTTCTACTCACCTTGCTGTATTGGATTTTCATGACATCTAGAAACTTTTGAGGAAGGTTTGGATATCTGATATGGATTTCCCGTGAAAGATCTTCAGCCCGGTTTATTAACAACTCCATCTTATCAAGTTCCAAAATAGGGTCCTTGAATGACCATGATGTCCTTGCAGGAGATTTACCTGCGTCATGTTCCTCGATCTTCTCTTTCCATGCATGTATCGCTGCTTCCAATCTGTTAATGGCATCGAGGGCGTTGTTTTCAGATTTTAAACTCAGAGATTTCAGCATACCAGCAGCCGAAGAGGGGACTCTGTTTAGTATCCTATAAAGATCCTCACCAAGGCTAGCCTTTCCAGACTGTACAAGTGAAAATTTCATTAGCAGATACATCTCAAAGGATACTGCAGGAAGGAACTACTGATATTAGGTAGGAATGTAAGGCCATGTTTGACAACCATAAGCTAGCTTATTTTTCGAGCTTATTGAAAGTGTCCCGTTTGATGAGTCATAAATTAACTGATAAACTAGCCTTTTGAAAACCTACTTCAAATGACGTTTCGATGAACTCTTACAACTTATTTCCAATTAAAACCCTTATATTTATTTTTCCATCTAATTGTTTAACATATTCTTTAGATCATTTTACATTGTCATCTACCTTTTGAACTAGTTTTTACCAAACATGATTAGTATATTGGCTAACAACTAACTTATTAACCGGCAGTTGTTTTTCAGCTAGTTTGCCAAACATAGCCTAGATGGATTGTGTACGTAGATGTGACTCCGTTTGAACTTCATCAATTTGATACATAATCAAAACAGATTCTGAGTTAGTATGCATATGTAGCATGATACTGAATGAGAATTTAGATGAATATTGTATTAGCTATTAATGATACCGGTAAAGAAACATATTGGGTAAGGAGAACAAAAAAGGATGAGTTACCTTGGGAAGTGCCTCAGCGATGATTTTTGGTATCGGCATTTCAAGCAGGATGGTCTCATTTATCGATTTGGCAGCCTTGAAAATTTGATGAACCAATTTTGCCTGATTCAGCAATTTCTTTCTTCCACCATCGGAGAGGCCACCTATGGGTACTTGTGGCATAGGAAGCCACCATCTTTTGCTTTGCTTTACATTCCTGCTTCTTCCTTCTGCTCGGCTACCCCCTTCCTCGTACCAAAATTCCATATCGATCATCGAATCCAGTGTTTCCTGTCAGTATGTTTATATCCATGACTTTAGAACAACATTGGCATTGAATTCACTAGATTCTAATGGGAGTGTAGAGATCACCTACAAGAAGCATGGAGTCTAACTTTCGTAGGGCTGGGAGATTCAAATGAATATCTCCACGAGCTTTTGGTGTCATTATCTGTCAAATGGGAATACAGATTTTTTTTAGATTATATGCGAACACCAAAGGGAACTATTTCAAACTTCCTATATAGTTGAATTCAGAAACCCTAATTAAAATTGGGTTTGCACCCAATTGGTCACCAGATCGAGTATCCTTAGGATCACTGGTGGGTTTTCTGGTTGTTAACATGAGGAGTCCATAGAATCAGTGGAGGTGCCCACAAGCAGACCGGAACACCACAATTATAAAAAATAAAATAAAAAAGTTGAGCAGGGAATGGAAAAGATGCCTCTAATATCCTGCCGTCTGCACCACATTGCTTAGCAGGAATTAACTGAACCATATAGTTGGTAGGAGAAAGCAACCACTCCATCTCTCTTCTCCATTTAATCCTCTTCTCCTCCGGCAGAGGTTCAAGCTTCCATAGTTCTCCAAAAACGGCTCCTACCCATCCACAGATTCCATATGAGAATATGAATATGGACATATTTATAACCATCATCAAGTTCTTATCTCTGAAGACACACAAAACTAGTATCATAATAACAAAACCATTCAAAATCAACCTCGACCAACATATTCTTAAAATAAAGAAACTGCAATGACCCAAGTGATTAGATTGTTAAATGCAAGTAGAATTATGAAGGCAATATGTTCTGGTTTGACTCATCTCTGAACTAGGATTAGAGCTCAGCCATAATCGAAACAGACTCAAGCTTACTATAATTCTCCACGTTCAAGTTCTTGATTGGATTTTAAGAAATCATAACCAAAATATTAACCAGCATCGACAAGTATAAATAGACACAAGTTCAAATGAGAACCGTAAATATTTTAAGAACCAAGGAACCAACTATTTCATGAATGTCATTCATCATGAACACCATGCATTTTCATTTTTCATTATTTATCATAAATAATGTTGGTTCCTATATTTTCAAAATATTTATGGTTCTCATGAATCTATCCAAGCATAGTATGGTAGGGGAATAGAAGTACCGGCTAAATTTGTTATGGCATTGGACAAAGCCAAAGCAGTGGAGGCTCCATTGCGTCCTCCTGTAGTATCTTCACCCAACAAGAGTTTTGCAAATTTTTCTTTCATTACCTCCACATCCGAGAATTGAACTGCATAAGATGGTTTCTCTTTGGCAATGAACGGGCTTGGGCTATCTGAGTACTCCCACTCGTCTAGTCCATGCTCGTCCCTCTTCATCGTAGTCCACTGAGAAAAAGAGGACCCAGAAGGATTGTTGCTAGAACAACAGCTCGAGGTATCTTCATCTGGTGAATCGGTTGGGAATCCATCTCCTTTGCTTGCTACACTTTCATCTTCGTAAGAGTTAGCATTGAGAATGCAGCTCTCAAGTCCGTTGTAGGTCATAATTCCTGAACATTTCCAACTTCATTTAGGAGGGCGTTTACCAACATAAATTGGGCAAGTGCTAACTGGATAAGAGTGTTTGGTTAGAAAACACATGCTGACCCAAAGCAAAATAATAATGTGGCCAGTTTTCAGATAGATGAGTCTCTAGGTATCATGTTGATGTAAACGGCCAAAATGTATCCAGATTATATAATCTTGTTCTTGACTACGAGAACAGAGACCTCCAGATCCGGGCTGGGAGATGTAAAAGCGAAGATGTAAGCTTTAAGTTATGTGATTATTGAAGAGCTACAAGCAGTGTGATCATTTTTGTTGTAAGGAATTACATTGATAAGTTCTTTTTTTTCCCACAAATGGTTTTAGACATTCGTACATGTTTACATCAGAAGTTGATCAAATCGTTTACATTACATGTTCAAATCTTTGTTGGTTTAATATTAAGCCATCCTAATCCTAACTATTTTTTGTAAAGAAGACTTCTTGCAGCCATGTGCATCATTTTTCCAACATTTTGTACCAAACCTAGCTCAACCATTAGATGATCGCATCTTATGCTGAATTTAAGCATGTTAATGTACCAAGTGATACCTTGTATATAAGGATATTTAAATTTAACTGATATTATGTCTATTAAACTGTTGGATCTGGAGTAGTTAGAGATTCATGAATTATATATTATATTTTGTACAATTTTGCATGCATCATCTCTGTCGAAACTCTTAGATCTAGACTACCTATGAGGATGAGAATGAACAATTATTTGTTTCTGACTATTTTATGGTTGGGAAATTGACGGAAATGACCATTCCTCTCCCATCAACCAATCTCCTAGTCATTCCTTTCACGATTTTACCCAAATGTCGCCGCTTTCGCAAAAAGACAAAAAAAATACTACAATTTCTACCCAGGTCTGCAAAATTGTAATTTTTTTGTCTTTTAGCTACCTCTGCAAGTTAAGGAGGTACCATTTGCTAAGGTAGTGAAATTTGGGTAAAACCGAAAAAGAAATAGCTAGAAAAAAAGGAATTGTCATTTCAATCAATTTCCCTTTGTGGTTTTCGTCATTTAGACAGCAGCATTAAACCAATCGCTTTATGAATTCAAGAACGATGCAGGCTTAATAAACTATATGAAAACACCACAAAATTTTAATAGAAGGTACAAGCATAAATACAAGATGTACAACATGTTAAAGTAAACATTAAATTTCTTTGTCTTGATTCATAAACTTCTACCACTTCCCTGCTATAACAATTTAACATACATATAAGTTAATAAAAAAATACTATTAATAAAATATTTCGTGCCAGGACAAAATCTTATGTTACTCAAAATTCATTTAATTAGTAATAGTTAGCACATGGTTCTAATCTTTTGTGCGTTTTTACTTTTTAATATTGTTCAAATCGCAACAGCTGTCATGGCGCACCATGACGTAAAGCTTGTGTCTCACGCCACGTTATACTTGTGACGCACCATGACGTAATGCACGGTTTTTATAAGACAAATATTTGATTTTTTTTACTTTTAAATGTTGTTATTTGTTAGTTTCTAATTTATAACCTAATTTAAATTATTTAATATCATTGATTCACTGAGTGATAGTAGAAAATATATGTTTATATATATATAATAATTTATTATGATATAAATATTTGTCGTCATTAGTCACGCCTTGAATAACGTTGCAACCTCGTTGTGATTCTTAAAGCTTAAGACTTGATCTCGCTACCACACCATGCCTCACACCATTTTGAAACTTGTTTTTCAGTGATAGAGAATTCATTGAAAATGTAAATAGTCCACATAGGTAAAAAGCAAGTTAATCTTTTAAGGTTATTTTTTGGCAAGTAATAAACTTATTAGTTAGTTTTTATCCATTCAAATCAAAATATTTGAAAATAAGGTTCTAAGTCAATTTATTTCTGTCTGTCGAACACTAATTTACTTTTTAAATTCCAGCAAAAAATTAGATACATACAAAAGCTATGATTATATTCCCTCCTATAGGCTAGAAGCTAGAAAATAACTTCTATGTCCCCATCATCATTTAAGACATGGGTTTGAACGTTTGGTACTCCTATGTCACACAATATACTGTAACTTAATTAAAGATTTAAGGGCCACCATTTCTATCTGTCAAATTTAAATTCATAAACGAGAGTTCTGCTGCCATTTTCAGTGGATTCCGCCATCCAGAGATCTGACACATCACCATCACTTTTATTTATGAGTTCCGAGCTACCCCTTTTAATTTTGGAGGGAACTATTCTTTCTACTTCCACAATTGGATTTCCTCTGTCCAAACTCCAACTTATCAGATTTTAAATAATGTTGCAGTAATAATTTCTGAGTACATTATTTTCAATTCGACATTTTGATTTTCAGAAAGGCGTATGCCAAATTGCCAAGAATGAAAGAGACAAACTCCTCTCTTGAAACGGTAAATAGGACGGTTTCAAGTAAAATGGATTAAAAGAATTAACATTTTATTATTTAATTTCGTATTTAAATAAAAAGGTTTATTAAAATCATATTATACATGAATAATTATATAAATTACATTATTTTTGTTTAATTTTTAATCAAATTACTTAATATAAACCTTTACAATAACCATATGATTGGTGCTAATTTTTTATCTAATGATCTTTTCATCGTCTTATTTATATTAGTTAATATATTTTTAAAATTGGAAAAAAAAAAGTTACATCTTTTGTTATTGTAGAAATAGAACTATAGAAGTATATGATTGATAAGAGGCTTAATCATTTGAAAAACTCTAAAAGTTATAAGATGTACAAAAACTTTTACCTTATAGTTTGTTTCACATGATTTTTTCCATATAAATATACTATTTAATGTATTGATTAACATATATTTGTTTCACAATGTGTTTGTTTCATATGTATTCGGTTCACAATATGAAACTTTATTATGTGTATTTTTTGTTTCACAAACATGTCAAATAAATACATTGTAAAACAATATATATTAGTCACTCCATTAAATTCTAGTCATAAATGAAAAAAAATTATATTAAATAACAAATGATGTACTCGTTTTCAAAATCTCATAGTTTATAGAGTTTGCAAAAGAAGTTCATTGTTTGATAAATTATGTTATCCAAATATGCAAGTAAAAAAACTGACTTATTTGTCTCTTTCACCAATATTTCTAATTGTAAATTTATTAGCCTTCACAATTCTTAATAAGAATTACACACTTTAGAAAAGATTAACCTTTATGTTAACTTTTCACTTAATTAATCTAGACAAAGGCAATGCTAATATTTTATAGACTTTAGAATAAGGTTACCGTACATAATATGCATATTTTTTTAGCAAAAGACAAGATAAACATACTTGATCATCCCAAGTTATATGTATAGTAATTGCGGATAAGCTTTTCATCATAACATTAACTGCTTGGTAAGATTTTAATGATTTTCATTTGTGAACATGTCTAACAATAAATATGCTAATATTATACCAATAAAATTCTCTTAAACTAAAAGATATGTTTTATATGCGGAAAAAAAAGTAGATAGAGCAAAGCGCTTTCATTTACGAATAAAATGAAAAACATATAAATCGAAAAGGACTTCAAATACTTTATGAAATGATCTTTTACTTGAAAAAATATGTAAATGTTTTATAGATTGTGATTTTAAAATTGAACACAAAAATTGATAAAAATAATGTTACAACTTCGTTTTGTATTAGTTTTTAAGGAAATTAACTAAAATAGTCATCTTTTCACCCCACTTCACTTTTTAACCACATTTCCAAATCAATTCCCAAACTAGCCATTTCTTTACATAAATGCTTATTTTTATCACGTATATTTGTACTTTTTTTAAGCAAATGCCCATTTTTATCTTCTTTTTATAAAAATATGGTTTACACAAATGCACAAACATTTATGTAAAGAAATAGCTAGTTTGGGAATTTGTTTGAAAATGTGTCTAAAAAGTGAATCAGGATAGGGATACCGGATATTAGCTATTTTAGTCAATTTACCCAGTTTTAATGTAAATTTGCAAGCTTTAGGTTGTAGGATGATCATAAATTTTCATAATGGTTTATATTGTTTTTATTTTATTTGAAAAAGATAACTAAAAAATTATACAGATATACCTATAAACACCTTGTAAAAATTTTAAGGGAGAATCTTTCCAAAAAAAATAAGAGGAGAAGATAAGAAGCAAACATACTGTCAGGTGGTTGATCAAGGTCGATGCTATTGCTGATTCCCTTGAACCATGTACAGCAATTCAACCTCCTCCTCAACAACACCATCCTCTATGTTAATGGACTGATAATTTTAAGTTTGTGCGAGCAAGTCTAGTAACCGGCCCCCTACATCAAGTACAAAACAATCAGTAATTTCTGGATTCATCAATATCAAATTTCTTTTATGTTTTTGCAAATAAAAAGCTAAACAACACCAAGGAGGTGGCTGATGGTCGTTTGGGGTACATAAAATTTGTGTTCTTGAGTTTAAATCGGCTTTTATCTTTTTGTTAAAATAATGTATTACTGAAAATAATAAGCAAAACAAAATAGTATGACTAAAAGTATAAAGTGAAAAATGCCTAATTAAATACAAAAATGTAGTCATCTACCAAAAATTAAATTGATTTAAAATTAGTTGAATGCCAATTAAGGGATTATACCTTGACACATTCCTGACATACATAAATACATTCATATGCATGTGCAATGTGCATATATGCATAATATCAGATAAAGTTGATCTGTGAAATTTTAAGATGTAAACTTACAACATGAATGCTGTTTTGTGATTTTAAAATTTCTTATAAATTTGGTTTTATTTTATCTCTTGAAACACTTTGTTAGATCTGTAACACAGATGTCAGTTTGTTAATAAATGAATTTGAGTGGATTTGATCTAAAAGAATCTACATCTGTTTTTTTCCTATCAAAATGGATATATTTATGTTTTAATTCATTTTATTTTACATCTCCTCTTCGAACAACTGTTATGTTTAAGAAATATGCAGGATAATGTTTTCTCCATACTATTCTGTTGCGATATTTATGGCATAATATTTGTCAATTCCAGTTTCTTCTCAAATCAGTTGTTTTGAGGTTTGTTGACATGATTTTGCTATTATCTGCCAAGTATAATGTACAATGTTGCAAAATGAAAATCAACAATACATTCTTAGTAATTTTCCAATACTTGTATCAAATTTGTCAAAAGCATATTTCGAGTTTAATTTTGTCATTTAATGCATGAAACTAGATTTACGTTCTCACTAATGACTTTATCATCATCATTTTTCTCGTTCGTAAAAGTAATGAAGAACATGATGATACGAATCAACACAAACACAACCGGAATAAGTATCGTCAGAAAAAGGTTGAAGAAGTTACGGAAATTGTTAGCACATAAGAGAGATGCAGACACATACTGATAGATAGAGATGTATATATATACGTATATGCTCATCGAGCGACATTTAGATTTCAGTAACCAGATCGAGAAGAACATCAAATTCCCCCAAATTACCATCAAATCTAACCGACTTCCGAAGAAATCGCTCCGTCACTAGCAAAACTTCAAACAAGAACAGAGGAAAACGTACCTGAATGATTTCAGAAACCGACTTCTCGTTTAGCTTCTTCACAAGGTAGGCAGCTGAAACGGCGAAATAGCAAGTTTGATACGTCGAATCTGCATCGCCATTGACGGAGAATGTGTATGGAAAGGGGAGATATTTAGTAAGAAAGTCAAAAATAGCAGGTAACAAACAGTGATGGCAATTAAATTTCAATCACCTATTTAAGTCATGCTACAGTGTCACTGTGTCAGTACACAGAGAGAGAGAGAGAGAGAGAGAGAGAGAGAGA